GGGCGCGCCGGTCGCTGCGAGGCCGCGCCTGAGGCCGCGGTGGCGGGTCGGGGCCGCCTCTCCCCGGCCGACCTCCCCGCCAGCCCCGTAACTTCTAAAGCTTCTAAACCCCGTGGGGTTAGGGGGGGCGTGTGGAGCTGGGCTGCCAGCCGTCGTACCGCCACCGGCCCGGGCGGGCCGCGGTGGGGACGGGGCCGGGCCGAGGGTCCCGCTTGGGCCCGATGTGAGGCCCCTTCCTCAGCCTCGGTGGGGACACACAGCGCTGTCATGAAGAGCAAGCAGAGGCAAAAAAGCAAAATATTTGTGTTTGTAACAAACTCATATATATATACAATTTATCGTTTTCGTAGGATGAGCACATGACAGACAGTACCCCCTTGCAAAGGCTGCACGACCAGCCCGAAGGCTGGACACTGGGCAGCCCAGCGGAGGCTCTTGAGCTCACACAGACCTGAAAATCCACTGGAGAAAGCTCCCGGTACAAGTGGGGTCTGCACGGGATCAGGGCCTCGTGAAGAGCAGAGAGAAAAAAAGGCCGTAATACAAAAGCAGCAGGCCTGAATGGTGAACTACACCTGAGGCTCCTTTATTTTATATTTCTCGGCCCCTTCTCCATTTTTTCAGTGCGGTGGTTGCATCCTTCCAGATTAAAGAGGTGATACAGGCGACAGCAATAACAAAAAGCAGTTAGTCAGTCAGCAACTATGAGGTGCTAAATGAATATCTGCGGCCAAATCCAGCTTTCATTTCCTTCAGGGGAAATTTGGTTGAGCCTCAACTCATGGATTCTTGCATCGGCATATCACAACAGACAAATGGCAAGGATCCGTGTCAGGAAACGACATACACGCTTCAGAGCTATTTTGTACAGAGAACACAATGCCATTTAACTGTCGCCAAGCTGGGTGACAAATGCAATATTTGTTGAGATTTCTTTGGATTTGGATGATTCAGAAAAGTCTAAATTTTAACATTTCAAACTTTTCATAAGGGAGCAAGTGCTTGGCAAGAGTCAACATTAACCCTGTGTCTCCTGAGATAACATAGTTTCATTATAGGCAAGCCTGGCCTCCTATAAATACTGTTTACAAACGCAGTTGAGGTTTAGGGCATTGTGAAATACCATGTCAAATGTTCGTTCATAGTTTCAGCACGTTGCATTGCTGATGTAATGTCACACCGCTCTATATGGGAGTGGTAGCAAGTTTTTTTCCCAAGCATGACAGCATTCTTTTCAAGAGGACTTAAGCCTTGATAAACTTTGTAGGTCTCGTACAGAAAAGGACTACTCTAGGTGTCTCTAGCAGTTAATGAATTGATTTTCATTAGCGCAGAAGTGAACTGTTAGGTCATTAGTTTGTGCCTAATTTTTATCAGTGGCAAGACAATTTAGGGATTTAATCCCTTTTCACATGAGAAGCCAGAGAAACATGAAACTACAGAGAGCAGGGTTTCTGTGAAGCAGTTTTTGGACTGATATGCGTTCCACAGGTACCAGTTCCAATGTCAGAAGGACACAAGCTCTTCTGCTGACCCTGGTTGTTAATGTTCTGAAGAAATAGCTGGTAAATTGCATGGGCCCAACTGATGAATGTTTGTCTGAGAAGTCTTAGTGATTTGCATGTGCCCCTAGAGGCCACTCGAGGTGTAATTTTATTAAATGAAAACTTACATAACAGAATATACTGTGTGTTTGTATCTTGGATACAGTAAATTTATAAAAGCACAAAAGAAACTGCAAATATGTTTTATTTTTATATTTATTTTTTAGGGCAAAATATACATTATATTCACATTATACACAAAATATACATTTATATCACAGTGTATATCGTATATATACAAAATTCAGAAAACTTAGTGTCAATTAGTCAAAAAGTCAGAGTGGAGACTGGTTTCATGTTCTCAGGGAGCAGCAAGAGCAGGGCTGCTCCATGAAGCAAGATAAGTGAGTGCCAAGCATGACCCCAGCACAGGCCATGCCCTCTCTGGTCAGGATGTAATCCCAGAGGATCCAGACACAGTGGGCAGAGCTCGGCGATGGTCACAGGGTCCACCGACAGCTCTAGGCAGTGCGAGGGGATGAGTCTGGAGGGTCCAGCCATGAGCAGAAGAAGACAGTGCTACAACATAGGTCCAAGGTCCGCCCAGGAGGCAGGGCTGGAGACAGGTACGCTTGAGATTAGATGGACCGACGAGCACTGGGGTGAGTGAGAGGGGAAATTAAGCCCTGTCAGAGCCACTCAGAGCCCTGACAAACATATACTTGAGGATCTAGGAATATTGCTCTTGTATGTATGCGTATGAATGTTACATGTTAACACCCACCTGCTTCACCTGCTGCAATCAAATAACCTCCATACCCAGTTTCCCATCTTTCTTATCTTCTTATTGCACATTCCACGAGGTTTTTTGCTTTCTCCTTATCACGGGTCTCTGCCTTTTGATTGTTCTTTTTTCCCTCTGCAGGCATATTGCTGTACATATTTCTTCCAGGTACAGCTGGACTGCAAAAGTCCAATTGTTCACAAACTGCAGTCTGTTAAAAAGATGTCATTACTCAAAATTTTCTCCACTGTCCACAATCAATATCAATCTTTTTTACTTTTTATTTGAAATCAGGTATGTAGGGCCGTTTTGTCTGTATATGTGAGAATCACCAACGACAAGTATTCCATCCCCATTCCATCCACCTCTAGTCTATCCCCGTCTTCTAAGAAAAGAATCAGTGGTACTCCAGATTCATATATCTCTATGTTTATGTTGTGCTTAAGCACTTTTCACACATCAGTACTGAGTATAGTTTAGGTAAACCACTGCAAACTAGGAAGTCCAGCAATGTGCCTCACTGCTCACAACAAAGTCATGGATTTTCTCCAGGCATCCAATTGATGTTTCCATCCTTCTTTGTGCAACTAAAATCTGAGTCATAACATATGTCTTAGTGATCCAATCTCAACATCTCCTCTGAGATGTCCTGTAGGCTTGATATACGGAGAGGGAGACATTGGAGGAGACTACACGTGAGCAAAAGTGCTCTTAAGTTCTGGCATTGGCAGAATGGGGGTAGGTTTTCAGAGGGTGTGCAAATACCTTCTGTTTCTTGTACATGCATACCATAGAAATTAAAACAGCAACACAAATATAGTTACATTTGTCGAAATATGGGAAAAGTGTGATTCAGTCCACATTACAGAGAAATTTATCTGTAGGTTCTCTCCTGAGCCTGTCTCTTGGTACGGACAGGAAAAAATTTGTGGTTCGTATCTGACTATCATAAGACGGTTACCCTAATCTTTTTCCTTTTTTACTATGAGTTACTCAGACTAAAACCATCTTTTAAATGTAGCTTGTTGGCACCTTGGTACTGAGCAGAAGAAAATCAGGAATGAAGATTTGTTGAGAGCAATAATGGAAACAGTAAACAATTCCTTCCCAACAGTGATAAAGATCTTGAGTTCATGCTGTGCTGGATGCTAAGGATAACATTACTGAGGTGACTTATGCACTTTGAAAATGATGGACCTACTGGTAACTTATTGTAAGTAGACTAGGACACTCTGCCTCTGTCAAGCACAGATTTTATAGTTTTCCTAAACAATCCACATATTAAAAAAAATCGATGATATTTAAAAAGAAAATAAATATTATAAACTCTGGTTTTACCCTTTGAATGAGCACCATTTTACATCTACAATCTTTTCTGTTGTCAAATTAATACCCAAATGATTTAAGTTCTGATGCATTGTCCTTCTGGCCCCACTCTGGGCATATATTCCTTATTTAGACAGGGTAAGCAATCAAAAGTATATTTGGCAATTGCTCAGTACTGTAGGGTATCATGGCCAAATTGTCACCATCTAACCATTACTTTCCATTCCCTGTGCAATTATAATAAAGTGTCCTAAACTTTTATGCTGACTTGCTGAACTCAGATGAAAATCTAAGATTCACTGACAGCACCTCATTACGTGCTACATTTTTTCCCAAGATGCGGAAACATTTTTTACAAGAATGCATAATAAATGAACAGTAAATAAGTTAGAAATACTTTAATTTACAGGAGATGAGCCTTGAGATTAGTCCAAAGGCTGTGTTAGGCCAATATCTGATTTCTAGTAATGCTTGAGTGAGGTTTGCTATCATATGGACTGATGGTGGGAGGTAATTTATTTTTTTTAATTTATTTACTCCGGTTAAAACTCTGAAAATTAAATCTATTCTATCAGAGAAGATACTGGCAAGACTGTAATGTAAAAAGCACTTCACTTAAGCACTTCCTTTAGTTAAACCTGAGTGCCAACAGACACTGCCAAGGAATGAAGACATTTTATTTAAAATTACACTGGCAAGAGACCATCAAATTATCCTTAACATTTTCATTAAATTGAGATACAGATATAGTTAGGGTAGTAAATCTTTTCAATACAAGGAGTTTATTCCTGAGCCAAGGCTAGATTCAGCAGTAATTGTAGGAACTATTAAGACCTAAAGCCTCATCTACATTACCAAAACAACTGTTCGAGGCTTTAGCCCAGTTTTGAAAAATGGACGGGATCCATCCTGTACTACAGAGCTAATCAGATCAGCGCTCTACGATGGTGTGTTTGGATTCCAGTCTGGGATGATCATTCCATGTTCTGTTGGCTCATTGGTTCAATGAGATTTTGGTATTTCCATCAGAAATGTGTGAATTTCCATAGGTTGTCTGCAGTCAATGATCCCAAGGCACTAAAACAGTCAAACAAGTTGTACCTTTCCTAATATTGACACCTTGTTCCTCTATAGGAATGTCAAGCTGAAGAGACTAAGGAACCTTATAGCCATAGTTTCTAAA